TTGACCTTTTCAGGTTGTAAAAATACAAAAATAAATAAGAGACGGAAGTGATGTCAGCTTTGTGATTTAATTGTTATTTAATTTAGCCAGATTTTAATTTAAAGCGCAAGTAGTCACAATAACAAAGTGGACAATGATTTGAGGGACTCGCGGAAAAACCTTTATTCAATTACAGTTGTCAGTCCAGAAGCATTGCAGTGTGTTGTTAGCAGAAGGAAAAGTGTAACTTGTATTTAAATTACAAACAAAAGTGAGCAAAGAATGCTACTTTTAGAATCACCGAGGCTGTCAGTCATGGATTATGAAGATGTCTACACTGCACTACACTTTACATTGTGTTTACTGGCTGTTATTCGTTACGAAATTATTGAGCACAGTGAGCTCTTTTTGAGTGGACGCACTACGGACTATCTTAAACACCTCTGATTGGTCATTGTGTTCAGCGCTCACTGTCTGTGATTGGCTACAGTGCTCAAAGCTGTTGAACACGATGTAAACAGAAACCTTTGATGCTCTTTACGCTCGTGGTGCGTTCAAGTCATGTCGGATAGATCGTATTTACGAGTTGAACGCACATGAACGCCACCACAAAGTCGTTATTACGAGTGGGAAACTCTAAATTTTCTTTAAGCCCTGAGTTTCCGAGTTGGGGGCGTGTCAATGAGAAACATGGCGGAATCGATGGATGCAACGTCTAGTTGACGGTAAGTTTTAGTTTAAATTGATAGTTTAGTTGTCCTATAAACTTAAATTGGTCATGTTCTTGTTACGCAGCTGAAATCCAAGTAAAAAAATGCAGACCCTGTTGTATTTTCTTGTAATTTATTAACAGAAGGTACACCGCCATCTTGTGCCGACTAAACTGACTTGAACGCGCCCGACGTTGTAATTACGACTTGTCAACTCGTAAGTACGAACGTCCCAGGAGGACTTGAACGCACCATCAGACACATACAGCATTTGAAAGCAGTACCTATCAGCTGTCACTATGAGTGAAATTGCCTTACTGTCTTTATAAGCTGAACTTTTAACAATCTAAATGCTTTTCCGTCCTCCACATCAAATGCGACTAGCCGTGGATTCTCGCCATGAGCACGTCTTTTCTGGTGGCCATAACCAGAAATCATGTTTGAATGTTTCAATTGAAATATCACTTTTATCTATTTCTCACCTGCCGTTCACACTGTATAAAATCATTTTCAATTTTTCTGTGTCCCTACACACCTCAGCTCCCGTGTTCCTGGAAAAGTGGGATGCACTTAGTTTAATTTCCCGCCAGAAGAGAAGCAACGCGGGTGATGAAGAGACTAAACTCCCTGCCAACCTCGAGAGGGAGTGTTTAGAGGAAGTTTGTGATTACGAAGAAGCAAGAGAAGTCTTCCAGGATAATTATCGCACAGTGAGTCTGAATCTTAACCTGAATTCACCTGTCTAAACTAGGGGTGTGTGATATTTATCGTTTGTGATGAAATTGTAATTATTGGTTGTGCAACGACGTGCAAGCTGACATTATTGATTATGTCATTTACTTTGCACAAAGCAAGCAAATACACCTTGATAGTGCAAATGTCTTTGATTTTATATAAATAAACTGTAAGTTAACAATTTGAGTTCCATTTTGAGACGCAATTCTGTTAACATTTTGCCAACCAAAAATGTTGTTGACCACAGCAGAAGTGGCCTGTTTACACCTGGTCACTATTTGCATTTTTTTTCTGATCGGATAGCTATCCGATCGTGAAAAGACCAGGTATAAATGCCCTCCGAAACACATTTAAATCTGATCGCTCAAACCACTTCAGGAGGTGGTCTGGATGAAACTGGACAAGTGTGAATGCATCTGGTTGTTGAAACCACATATGCAAATTTTACTCCTCCCAAAATATTAAAATAATAAACGTGCGAGAGCATTTTATAGGCTATATGGCATGTTATAGTCAGATATGACTGCGCTAATGCGACATGTAACGTATCGCCGCGGATGAGTAGCCGAGTATCTCTTCAGCAAGCCGACACGCAAACTGCCACAAAGGAAACTGAAAGTAAGCCACAGACACTCAACACACAATCATCTTCATTAAAGGTAGTGAAACTAATCTATCTTTCCAGTGCTGATGTCGCACTCTCTCCTGTTGCGGTATTTGATCTTGAAATTAGCTGATAATGAATAAAATGCAGCACTTATCTGTTGCTTTCGTTAATGTGTACTCTGTTAAATTTGCATATAGCATGGGAATTGAAGACCGGATTTATATCCGTTTTGTGAAGACACAATGACTCGGCTCATTAAGACACTGACCAGTTTTCTTATAAAGTATAATTTCACGTCGGCGCCCCTAACCTTGTCGTTAGTGTGTCGACATATAGCGCAACTGTTTTCACGGCGACCCGAGTTCGAATCCCGCCTCGAGGTCCTTTGCCGATCCTGCTCCCTCCTCTCCTCCCAGTGCATTCCTGTCAGCTCTCTACTGTGCTCTCACAATAAAGGCATGAAAAGATCATAAATATAGCTTTAAAAAAAAAGTATCATTTTGCGTTTTTAAAATAAATTCAGTTTAAGGATGCAAATATTGCCTTGTAGTGGAAAAGTTCATTTCTGTCACGGCTGAGAACTAACCACTGCACAGAATATGAAGATCTACCTAAACAAAATCCTAAGCCTAAGCCATCCAAGATACCAGCACAAAACACACGCTCAGTATATTTTATTATTATCGTTATCAAAAAAAATTGAGAAGACATTTGTGTGAATATCGCACACTTCTAGTCTACGCGTTTAATATTACTACTAATATTCACAGTTGCACTCGTAATTATGTACAGACTTAAATGGATTGTGTTTTTGTTTCTTTTAAAGGACATCTTCTGGTCTGTCTACATTGGTAAGTTGTGAATGTTGCATATGCATGATGGTCATGTGAGAAAGTCAGGTGTCATCTGTTTTTCCAGATGTCTCCAGTCCTGGAGACCCACCTACCAAAATGTGTTAGATGTGTTAGACTAATTAAAGCACCTGGTTCAACTCAACAGCTGTTTAGTGTGTTGAATGGACTGGAGTTGGGAAACCCTGCATTTCAGGTACCTCAATGAGATGAATATAGACAAGTGGAATCAGTTGTTCCACTTGTTGCCCTGATGCAATCAAATTGATTAAAGAAACTAAAGAAATATATATAATACATTGGACCTATTCCATGTCCAGGTCAGCTGGTTATTAGATGAAACTAACAACAGTTAAGAAGTATGTTGGATTTCATGGGAAAGCAGTTGGTTATATAGCAATCATCATAAAACAGTATTGTACATGGGATTGCTACGATTGACCAATCATAATCAAGCCTTCCAGAGAATCATGTACTAATGTTCAAGATACGGTGTATTGTGATTTGATACATTTATAGACGTATAATGTTTTAAGTGTGTGACATGCGTCATCTCTGATGGTGTTTTACATGCTAGATGGTGACCAGTGTGCTGAGCAGCCATGCAAAAATGGAGCCATGTGTTCGGATAGTGTGGGGGGCTTTGACTGCATTTGTAAATCAGGCTTTACAGGAATCCACTGTGAGACAGGTATGTAACTGAACCCTCATCTTGATTGAGCTCTATTTAAAAAGTAAACATTAAAGGGATCAAGAAACAGAAAATGTAAATGTCCAGAATTAGGCTTTCTACCCTTCTGAAACGCCAGAATTTGTATTCGCCCCAGTTGTGATTTCCCTCTACACATCCCTTAACATGTAAATCAAGGAGGTCTACCTTTAAAGGGGTCATATGATGCGATTTAAATTGTTCCTTTCTCTTTGGAGTGTTACTTCTTTATGCTCTTGGTGCATAAAGAAGATCTGTAAAGTTGCAAAGACTAAACATGCCTAGAGCTTATCTGTGCTGGTCGCTGAGAAAATACAACAACTTTGCGCTGTGGATCACCGGATTGGCTTTCACCATGGACGAAGCAGAGTCCAGCCCGGGGTCGTCACATGTGGTTGCTGCAAGCCCTCCGGACGCTCCTTCGTCGAACCCGCTGCCTCTGCTCACTCTAGCCCTCCGGCCGTTCCTCACGCTAGCCCCCGGCTTCTGCTCACTGTTGGCCGCCGTGTGTGACGCTGTGTTTCGTTGTGAAAGTGAAACAATCATCGCTTCGGCCGGACAGGGCATCATCACAATATGGTAAGGGGCGTAACATTTCCGTCACACGCTTGGGGTATTCGGCCAATCACAACGCACTGGATAGCTGGCCAATCACAGCACACCTCGCTTCCCACATCTAGAGCTTTGTAAAAATCAACGCGTTTCAGAAAGGTGGGGCATAGAGGAGAAACAATAATGTACAGTATGTGGAAAATAATGTGTTTATGCAGTTTAAGGTTAAAAAAACACATTCCATTACGCCAAATACACAAAATAATGTTATTTTTAGCAACATCATATGACCCCTTTAAACTGTGGTGAGAACTAACCATTCTAAGTACGGCCTTTGATACAATCTCGTTTAACATCCTCCTAGACAAGCTGGACTTCCTTGGAGTAATGGGCACAGGTCTGTCTTAGTTTATCCACTGGTGTTCCCCAAGGCTCAGCTTTGGGCCCTCTTTTATTTACTATTTGTCTATTGCCCCTTGGAACATATTTTTAGGAAGTATGACATTCATTTCCACTGATATGCTGATGACGCTCAGCTTTATCTATCTTCTATGTCTTCCCTCCACCTTTACTGTTCAGCTGTTAGCTGAAATTAAAAACTGGCTATCCTCTAATTTACCACTAACTCAATAGTGGTATAACTGAAATCTTACTAGTAGGTACAATATCTACTTAGGCTAAATCTGATAGCTTCTCAGTGACTATTGACCTGTCTATAGTTTTTCCATCTATGCTTGTTAAAGTCTTGTTGCCCTTCATTTGTGTAATTCCTTTCCCTTGGACATCATATTTATGATTTCACATGTACTAAGCAATATTTTATTCCTCAGTGTCTAAATGCATGTTACGGTATGCTGTTTATTGTTGTTATATTAATATTCTTAGGATGACTTTTAAGGTGAACTGAGTGTCGTGAAAGGTGCCTGAAAATAAATGTGATGAATAATGATGCTGTGAGGTCTGTCAACAACTCATGCCTGTCATGTCAGTCACAAGAGCATAAATTAGTAAAGTGAATCCAGAAAGATCTGAACATGCATTTCATGACCCTTTCAACAAAATTATGACATACAACACTTAACATTTAGTTTGACCTGCTAAATAGGGCTTGAAACTCTAAAAAGTTCACCACTGGATAAGAAATTTTAGTATTTCTCAATTGTATTTATTACATGATGCTGAATGAAGTTCGTTGTTGTTCTCACTGATTTTTTTCCCCACATCTAGATCAAACGGTATGTGTAATCGATGAGAGCAAAGGGTGCAGTCAGTTTTGTAAGCCGGGCTATCAGTCGTACGAGTGCTCGTGTGCATACGGCTGGAAATTGCAGCAGAGAGAGAAGTGCGTGCCGGCTGGTGAGTCCATTACGCCTCTGTCTCACAATCAGTTTATGAACAATGCAACAGCTGATAATGGCAGATGAGTTGAGAAATTGTACTGATCACGAAACGTTGTGTTAATGTTGTAATAATGTTTTGCACTATTATTATTATTATTATTATTACTAAAATAATATAAACAATTATTTTGCAAAAGTAAACTAAAAAATGGGGGGAAAAATTCAGTGTTTCAATAAAGCAATGTTTTATAAGCATTATGTATGTATGTACTATTTTTTTGTTTAATACTTGCCTAGATATTGGTTATATTTTAAGAACACCAAAATAAATTTACAGTGGAACCATAACTAAGTGGATATTTTACCATGGTGTGAATACAGAATGGGATTTGTTTAGTAGTGATTGGGGAGAGAAATGGTCAACCAGGATAGGCTCTTTCCATTTGAAATGGTCAAAAACAGCCCTGCTTACAGTGTCTCACGTAAGATTAGCCTATATCAGTAAATTAGCTTTGTAAGGGAAACAGGTCAGTTTAGCTCAAAGGGAATTATTTATGTTTTAATAGGGAATTTGGTCAGAATCACTCTTTTACGGCTGACCATCTAGCCGGCCAGCGATTCACTGAACGAGCCGTATGACATCAACTCTGCAATGGATATTAAAATCCAAAATATAGTGAAAACTAGTGGTTCAACGGATCACAAATCTCACGGTCCGGATCATAGTACGGTTTCTGAGCCACGGATCGGATCGTTTTTCAGATGAGCAAGAAACAAAATCTATGTAACTTTGCTTTGCATAAGAACGATACCACAGCAAAAACTCTTAGCCTAAGAAAGTTCAAACATTATTAAAGAGACAAGTGAACAGCCAGTAAAAATAAGAACAAATAGGCTACACAAATTACAAACATGGATAAATTCAACAGAACAGTGTAACAAATAAGGTCGGTAGTATTCAGATACAGAAATGTAATAATTAAGTGTAAAATAAAACTGCATAGTGTTCACTGTATAAATTAAAAAAATTGATTCATCTGTGAAAAACGTGTTTTGTGATTTGATGAGCATAATGACAGCAGCAGGTATTATTAGGCTGCTGCCCCTTTAAGACCTGATGCATGGATCCAATATAGCCTGATGATACACATCCAATTTCTTTCTCAGCTGTTCTCGTTCACTTAAGACACAACAGACTGCATTTGCCACAATGATTGTCGAGATTGGTATTTTGTCATAATTTTGTGTATGTATGTGTCTGTTCAAAGGCAAGGAGTGAATGAGATAGGAAAGATGGTTCAGTTCGGTGTTCTCGCGCAGTCAAACGAGTAACGAATTGAAAACAGCGTGCGAGTAACGAATTGAGTTCCATTTCGCCTTTTCTTTCGCTAGAATGGTTTAAAATCACTTGCGTGTGTAAACACGTACAATTTATAAACTTTCATTCTATTATGGTTCAATTTTGCAATTAATTCGCGGATCACATGCGTGCCGAACCGTGGGGCTTGGTCCGTACGAATCACGGATCAACTACGAGCCGTTTAACCACTAGTGAAAACACTATTAATTAGCACAGTAACAAGATCGGCAGTTTAAGACATTAACTTGTAAGCACGAAACACAAGATACTTCTCTTTTCAATATAAATAAGACTTTATTGGATAAATCTAAGACAATATAAACTAATCTAACACACAAACATACGCACTCACACATTCACACAAGTTGCAGAAAGAGAGAAAGTGAGGAAAGAATGAGTTTAAGAGAATGAAAATGTGAAATCCCAAGTTTACAGCAATATGTGCAATTGCATAGATCTGAACAACCATCAATCACTTCATTAACCCTCGCATTGAGTTCAAATGCACCAGTTCAGCTAGAATCTGAAGGTAATTGCGTCGCTTGTTTAGGGGGTTCCCTTGTTGTAGTTGCTGAAAGGGGTTTCCCGAGGTTGCTGATTGGCTGGAAGTTCAGTAGTCGTTGAAGTGACGTCTTGGGAAGCCAATGGTTGGGCGTGTGCTGAAGATGCGGAGTTGTGGGCTGGTTAAAGTTTTGAGGCGGTCACAGACTCGAGATGAACCCGGAGACTAGGGTTGTGACGGTGAGGAAATTTTCCTACCGGTTAATCGACGTGTGACAACACCGGTAATACCGGTATCACCGTGGGGGCGGGGCGTTCCCTCTGTTCCTCGCGTTCCTTCGCTTTTAAATAGCTTGTAAAAGCGGCATGCGCATTTTACTTTCACTTTCAAATAGCGGCAATTCGGCATAAAGCAATTGTTTGTTTTTATTTCGTTTGAATTTTCCCTCTTTTCCTAGCTTTCCTTCCCTTTTAAATAGCGTAAAATCACCGTACACATTTTACTTTCACTTTCGAATTAGCGGCAGTTCAGCATCAATTACTTGAATGCAACAACAAAATACAACGTCAAACTCACTTTAGCCTATATATAAAACATAGAACTTTTATTAACAAAACGAATAAAAATACACCATGCTATAGGGCAGGCTATGCCTAATATAACTGACATAAAGTTTAAAAAGGTATACAAAACTGGAGATAGGCTACGTAAACGTATAATATATAACCAAATAAATAAGAATCGTAGAACGTTTATTAGCAAAACGAGTAAGAAAGCTTGGAGGCATGGCATTCACTTTGATGTCAAATAAAATAAATAAATGACACAAAGTTTAAATAAAGCAAAAATCAGCAAACAATGTGGAACCAATTAAATAAGAAACAAATGTTTAAAAAAACCTTCGAAAATCACCTTAGATAAACAGCAAAATCAACAGGATTTACAAAATCCAAAATATTGCCAAACAGGCGCTTTTGCATTTCGTTTCGAAACTAAATCATCCGCGATCGTCTTGTCTGTCTCACCTCACTCTTCTCGTCTGTCAGCTCGACTCGCTCTCCTCACTGGAGAAATAAATCTGATCTGTGATGCGACTGTCGTTCGGCACGCTGCACTGAGCAGCCGCGTTCAGTTTTTAATTGTAGTGTCTGTTCTTTTACTGAACTAAATGATTTTTATTACTATAAAAAAATCAAAACGACGGTGGGGGTCGGTGCCACGGTGTTGCGGCTTAACATCGGTATCACCGTCAGCACCGTCTATCACGGCAAGCCTACCGGAGACACGGCGTTGCGGCAAAACTTAACTCGGAACACAAAACTCTCAACAGAAAAGAAAATAAACTGAGGGAAAGAAAGAGAATAAGAGTGTGACGAGACTAGATGGATTTTCTCCTCATGATGTACGAAGCAGCTGGCATGTAAGCCAGAGCACGCTCAAAGTGCGCTAAAAAGCAGCTGCAAAAAGCATGGCAGCATAAAGCAAAAAGCGATGACTAAAAGCAATGGCAAAAAGCATAATTTGATGGTGTCCTGAGTATTTAAACCGGGCTGTTGGACACATCCCAAATAGTGTCTTGACCAATTAGACACTGTCTTAGCTCGGGGGGTGTTGCTATGTTTCTCCTCTCAATACATAAATCGCACAAATGTGAAGAGACATAGCATTTTTATTCCTTTTCCTCAGGCAATTGAATCCATTCAAGCTTCATGTGTGCTAGCAAGTGCATTTGGGAAGTGTTAATTCCAGAGTACAATCAATGTCAAATAATCACTAAGTACACATTTATTTTTCTCTTTAGTAACGTTTCCATGTGGAAAAGTGGCAAGTTTGAGTCAGCGGGGCCAACGTCGGACAACTAACATACAGTCAGACTATCAAGGACTCGCCTGCGGCCCAGAAGAGTGTCCCTGGCAGGTGAATAAACCACACTTGATCCTCCAGACATCATGTTTGTTGTTTACGTACACACTGCAAGTTGATGAAAGTCAGAGCCAATCTGCAGATTTGAGTTCACAGATTTCATAGAAAATCACGTAGCGTATGCTGGTCACAGATAGCTTCAGACAGTGTTTCTTCTGTAACTATTAAAAAATTCGGCAAGTGTATGATGACTAGTGTTTTGAAAAATCTGTTCAGACTTTAATAGACGTATAGTGTATTCCAGCCTTAAAGGGTTCGTTCACCCAAAAATGACAATTAGCCCATAAATTACTCACCCTCAAGTCATCCTAGGTGTATATGACTTTCTTCTTTCAGACGAATCCAGTCGGAGTTATATTAAAAATTGTATTTGATCTTTCAAGCTGTTTAATGCCACTCAGCGGGTGTTGCATGCATCAGTCCAAAAGAAGTGAAATAAAAAGCGCCCATCCATAATAAAAAAAAAAGTGTCTCACACGGCTCCGGGTGGTGAACAAAGGCCTTCTGTAGCGAATCGATGCGTTTTTGTAAGAAAAATATCCATATTCAAAACATAATAATCACTTTAATGTAGCTTGCGCCAACAGTTGTACACGGAAGCAGCTCCGGGCGGTTGACGTATGAGTTCAGCATTGCTTTTGGGTGAACTAGCCCTTTAAGTCGTTTATATCTACTTGAATTAAGTGCTGTTAGAGTTGAATGAGTTAGAATTCGTCCGCCGCTTATAACGGTGCGTTAAATCCAACAAAGGCAAGGTCTAATGTTCCACATCCAAATTTCGAGCAGTTTTTGAAACACCCGTATTCTGTACACACACAAAACAATAATTTCAGACACTCACTCTCACATTTAGATGCGGTGGTAACTTTACAGTGTGCAGGTACTTTACACTGTGTACATGTACTCATTTTTTCAAAGGCGATGCTGCGACATGGATTGGTTGGTTTCTGCAGTGGGGTGATCTTCAAAGAGAACATGGTTCTCACCACGGCCCAGTGCGTTATGAGGTACAGCGACTTTCAGGTGGCGGTGGGTGAGTGCCATTTATGTTTTCAGAGCAATTTCATGAAACACGTTGAACAGTGGTTTCCTAACATGCTACAAAACATTCCTTACACTCTACAGGTAAAAGGGTGACCTCATTCGAAGCAGGAGAGCAGACGCTTCAGGTAAAGCAGGTGCACATCCACCCGCTCTATGTTGAGGGCAAGCCTGACCATGACATGGCTGTAGTAGAGCTGACGCAGAAGATCGTCTTCAAGAAGAGCGTGCATGCAGCCTGTCTGCCCGAGAGAGACTTCGCTGACAGTGTGCTCATGGCGGGCGACTACATGGGTGTCATCACCGGCTGGAAGAAAGTTTCCGGTGCAACGGATCTTGAAGGGAACCTCATGTTAAACCACCTGTCCTATGACAAACTGCTGGTTTGCTCGCAGCGCCACTCTGGTCAGGTTGGTGGACGTGTCAGTATTTTATGGGGTTCCCATGGTCACGAAAAACCATTTAGATAATTGTTTCCTCATTATCAACCTTGTTATCATGCACTCATGCAATTGTATATTATCCAAGCATCAAAACATAAAACTATCCATGGTCTTGGTGTAGAGGACTCTCAGAATAATAGTAAACGTACAGGTGGATCGACCTAGGGTTTCTAGGGCTGCGCAATTAATCGAATTTCTAATTGCGATTACAATTAGGGATGCCTCAATTACGTAATCGTTCAAAGCGGCAATTAATCGTTCAAAGTCCACTCATGTTATTATCCGTGCTTAAGAAAGAGTTTTTTTCTTTCTACATGTTATCTTAAGGGTTTTTCACATTATTTTAGTTTTCGTATAACATTATAATACCACTCATATTTTTACTTTTTTATAATTTAAAGAAGAAACCAACCCGATGTATGTTTGACATTTGAGGCTTAATACTATAGAAAAGCACTAAAAGTTTTTCAGTTAGAGTGTTTTCAGCTTGTTTATTTTCGTATAAAAATGCGGCATGCCGTTGCATCAAACAATGGTATAAACGTCATTCAATGTAAATTGTGATAATCGTAATTAATAATCGCAATTACAATTTCAAGGGAATAATCAACAATTATGATTTTTGTCATAATCGTGCAGCCTTACTTTCTTCAGTAGCCAGGGTTTTTCCAATTCAGTAAAATTCTTGCCGACATTGCTAAAAATAAAAAAACGGGTCAATGCGTTAAAACTCTAAAGGGCCGACAATGGATGATGGTGAGATGCTACAGAGATGATGATGATAACAAAGAATCAAAACAGACGAGTTAGCTAGCTTTGGGCAACAACTGTCACAGCCAGGGTCAATATTTGCATTTGCAGGTATTAAAAACATCTCAAAAAGTCTGAATTTTTGCGCTTCCACAAATGAAGGCCTCAAAAAGTATTTAAAAGTCTTAAAATCATATTATCCGTGCGTACTCAGCAAAAAAAACGATATCTTCCTCAGTATTTTCGTCTTGTTTTCGGAGTTTATGGTTGAAACAAGTACAAATATCTGCCAGTGGGGTGTGAAAATATATTTATTTTGAATTAAGTTGATTTTTCTGAGCTCATTGGCAGATATGTGCTTGTTTTCATCATAAGCTCACTTAAGGTTTAATAAGGTGAAATTATTCCTTATATATTCTTTACTTGTAGTCTTAAAGGATTTGGTCTTAAATTGACTTTGATATAACCCTAGAAACCCTGGATTAAGCTCTATTAACATTACTAGAAAACATTAAACTGTATGGAAAAACAGGTTACTTATGTAATCATGGTTCCCTGAGTAGGGAACGAGACACTGCGTCCTCTAGGGGTCGCTATGGGAAACCTAGAGGACGCAGTTCGAAGTTCCCATGAAAGGGAACGTCTCAGGTTACTTATATAACCATGGTTCCCTGAGTAGGGAACGAGACACTGCGTCCTCTAGGTTTCCCATAGCGAACCCTAGAGGACGCAGTTCGAAGTTCCCATGAAAGGGAACCTTGGATTTCCGAAGCCCCTACACAGATAGATAAGGAGTGGAGCCTAGACAGCTTTTCAGGTCTGATTGGTTTGATTAATATTGATGTCTTGGGATTACCTGGTGCACAAATTGCTCAAAATAAAAGGGGGGGACAGAGGAAAGGAATATACAGCATGAATATCAAAGATATTTAAAGTAGATGCATATAACTGAGTGCTTTTATTTTGTCTTCAGGTCACCAACAAAATGGCGTGTACTATGCCTCGAGCTAAAGCAGACTGCATCTTGGGACACGGCAGCCCTTTGCTCACGCTGTACAGAGAGGTGTTCTTCCTCACCGGCATAGTCAGCCAGCCTTCAGGAACCGACTGCAAGAACGGTTATGTCTTTCAAAAAGTGTCCCGCTTCTTGCCATGGTTAAACACATTCATGCGCCCATAATGGAAGAGAAAAGAATGAATGCACAATACATTTCTACCCTGTTTTTTTTTTAGTTGACATTGCCTTTGTTCCCACTTATACTCAACAAATTACAAATGTTAGAAAAAGTCGGCGTTCGTCAGAGGGGGGTTTTCCAGAAAACAAGGTTAACTTGCGTGTACCCTGAACTCTTGGTTTGATAAGCCCAAAACTTGTTTACTCAGGGTGTGACTGTTAATACAGCGTTATAATTTAGCTTAGCCATTTACGTGTCTGTGACAAGGTGAGATGTATCTATGAGTTACATTATGAGTCCTGTAGCAAATAAACACATCCTTTTAATTGCGGAGCTGTAAACATGAGATGAGAAAATGTTGGTTTTAAGATTTGTAAGGTAAAATAAAATGAGCATTCGATTGTTATAATAATGCTATGCATAATAATATGTGACCCTGGACGACAAAACCAGTCATAAGGTCAAATTGAGGTTTATACATGAAAATTATACATTGAAATTATACATGAAAGCTGAATAGATAAGCTTTCCGTTGATGTGTGGTTTGTTAGGATAGGACAATATTTGGCCGAGATACAGCTATTTGAAAATCTGGAATCTGATGATTTCTCAAAATATTGAGAAAATCGCCTTTAAAGTTGTCCAAATGAAGTGCATATTACTAATCAAAAATTAAGTTTTGATATATTTACTGATCAACTTTTAACCATTAAAACCATTAAAAATGGTTTCCTGTAGTGTGATTTGGGACATGCTCCATTAGGTATTGGTGGTTTTAACAAGCCACCAATAGAAGGTGACCAGTTACTAGTAGAGACCAATAGGCACCATTACAGTTTCCATTAAAATCAGTATAATATCCATAATAACTGGTAAAACCATTACAAATTCTGTGATGGTGTCTATGGTTTATTTTAGCCGGGGGATGCGCATGCGGTGAAGCTGTGAGCAGTATGTGTTCAGAAAGTAGGATATTATAACTACCGTACTTAAATACCCTGAGCGTCGCGTCAGTTTTTGGAACGGAAAGCTGAGTTTTTCTGGAAAACCCCCTCAGAAGCGATCCGATTCGTGCTGTAGGTCCTGAACTTTTCCTGTGGTAGATTAGCAGAGGCTGAGAACGTTTTCACATTCTGATTACAAACGCATTTTGTTTTCTTTGAAATAGCATGCACTGATTAATCTTTCAGAGTAACACAATGAATGTGTATTAAAGGGGTCTTGATACAGATTTTTAAAAACTATTTAAGTTCCTGACATGCATTGTTAAGTCAGGTTTTTGTGTGTGTGTGTATCAAATCACTGCTAAATTAGGTGTATATGACCATTGTATTACTAACTGACCATGAGTAGTGCAGATGGCATAAATAAGAAACTAAAGCCAATTACAACTAGCTTTCTATAGACAATTTTAAGCTTGACTTTGGAAATGAATGCGCCAACAAAAACTGAACATCTGCTTGAGTTAACCTTGACTATGTATTTTATCATAAATAATGGTGTGTTTATTGGACAAGTGACTCCTGCACATAAATAAAAAATAGTATTAAATAAAAGAGAAACTGAAGTCTGTCTTATGATGCTGATATTTCACACACAAACTCAATGACACCCTCAAGCTGCCATGCTGGCAAGTAACAATAAAGCCTTCCTTATACATTAACATGTGCATCTCTCAGTTTAGGATATGTATAAGTATATTGTCATCATATGTCATTATACCTCAAACATTTCAGGGTGTTCTGAATCAATGTATTTTGTCAAGTGAAGTGAACTTCAATACAAATGTCTGGTGCTGATGTACTTTAATAGTGTTTCACGACACTTCACTGCAATTATAACACTATAACAGTTACCTAAGAAGGTAACTGTTACGGGGCTGACGAGACGTGAGACGTGCGGATCCATGTGCAAACTTTATTGAAACGAAGACAGAAACGTGGTCATGAAACAGGCATGGGTCAGATGAGGGCAAACAGGTATATGGTGGGCAAAACACAAGAATAGTCCTAGGGCTAGAGGAACAGACAAAGGAAAGGAAGTGGCGTGTGGCCAAGTATGGTCACCCATACTCTGAATTTCATGAGTTTATTATAGCCACCAAGACCACTCACTGACTTGCATGACAGTTTTCTTGTCAAGAATTATGTTCATAAATGCTGTTCTTTATCCCAATGGCCAGCGGTTATGGCTGTCCGCTCTCTTCAAAGGAGTCAAGGTGTTTGTCTGTCACTCCAAAGCAGTTCTCTGATTGCTTCTCTCTATGTTAGTTTTCAATGGAATAAGTCATATTCATCCTAAATAACAGATTTGGCAACTTCAGCAAAAATACACTGACGTGTGGATAATCTTATGTTGAACTTCCAGTAGTCTGACCTACATTCATCCTCTTTTACAGCTGATTCCACGGAGTAAATCAGATCCTGACGGTCATGGGAGAAGTTAAGGTCTTTGCTTTAGTGAATTAGTTCTTGCATGAATGTAGTTGAGCACCTTTATAAGAACTTAGCTGATGTCGTCTTACCAAAACTCAAAATAAAATCCAGCTCAGTCTATGTTTATATTTGTCATTATAGCATTATAGAATTAAAGCTCAAACGACAGCATATGTAGCACTGTTATTTCCCACAAAAAAAAAAAAAGTTATTTAGACCCATCTCTCTTGTTCTTTAAAGGTTTTCCTTTCTCTTTGGAGTGTTACAAGCTCTTGGTGCATAAAGAAGATCTGTAAAGTTGAAAAACTAATCTCTAATCCAGAGAGATATTCTTTATAAAAGTTACGAGTCAGCCACACCTACCTAAAACGGCTCGTTCTAACACGCCCCCACATGTCTACGTCACTATGTGGGAAGATTTGCATAACACCGCCCCAAATGTTCACGCATATTCGGTGACCATAAACTCAGTTTTTATGACAGCCACCATTATGTTTATATTTCAAAAAACTAATTGAAGTAGAAATATTATGTAAATGTAACTTTATTATTTTAAAAACTTCATTAAGTGTAATTTTAACACCAGTCAATTATTATAGTAATGTAGCACCAACTGACTCGTGTATATTTTACAGCATTAGTTGAGAGATTTTTTTTCCTTGAGAAAATTTGACATGTACTGTACCTGATATATATCCAAAATAAACGAGAATCGAATCGAATCGCAAACTTGTGAACGAGAATCGATTTGTGAAATTTGTGTCAAAACCCAACCCCATTGCCGATTGTAGTTGCGATTTCACAGTGAAAATTCCACACACACGAAATCTCAGAAACTCGCGTGATTACACGTCACTTCAGAAACGACAACAAACATGGAGTACGATAGATGTCGTCAGATTGCTCTCTTGGCATGCGCACTCTTTTGCAGTGAAAAACAGAAAACCAAGAAAAAGAATTGTACATTATTGTTCATTACTGTACTTTGGCCTTAAACAAAGGTCGAAGAAACATCAAACGCACCCTGCCATTAACGGCTTTGATTTAGTTTGTTATTACAATGATGGTAGGTAGAGGACAGAATGGGATTCAGGGATCTCCTCAGAATGACTGCAGCAGAATTTGAGGTCCTGCTCACAAAAGTAGCACCATTAATTACCTAAATAGACACCAAAATGAGGCTTGCCATCACTGCAATTTTTGGCAACAGGTTTGAAAATATATAATGCTTCTATTGTCCTCATTTGTAAGTCGCTTTGGATAAAAGTGTCTGCTAAATGACTAAATGTAAATGTAAATATATATTTACTCCAATCAGGAGAACTAATACCCTTATGAAAATCATGGTTAATTTGTGGTTATCATGGTTTAACTACAGTAACCATGTTATTTTGGTGTTATTTGTAGTAAAACCATGGTTAACTTTCATAAGGGAATAACAGAAGTGTTATTGGCTGTGGCATGGCAATATTTTGTTGCAATTTATTGTTTTGGGTTAACAGTAACATAATCCCCAATGTTAAAAGATAGATTTCTTGTACAACCAAGACTGTAAGTTGTTGCTCATTTTGTGACTCACAAAAAAAATCATTGCAAAGTGGTGAGGATGAATTAAGGACTCTGATTTAGGGGTGGTGATGTGTGGGTTTAGGGGTGGAGATGTGTGGGTTTAGGGGTGGAGATGGGTAGGTTTAGGGGTGGAGATGTGTAGGTTTAGGGGTGAAGATGTGTGGGTTTAGGGGGGGAGATGGGTAGGTTTAGGGGTGGAGATGTGTGGGTTTAGGGGTGGAGATGTGTGGGTTTAGGGGTGAAGATGGGTGGGTTTAGGGATCAGGGGGTGGAGACGAGTAGGTTTAGGAATATGTAAGGTGGGAGGAGTTGGATATGGATCCAACCTCGCCCCCTTGATCTTGTGTTCTGCAGTGTGGACCATCTCTACAAATTCAGTGATGTGCTATTGCTATATTTTCAGTGGATAGCATTATTTATTGTTAACTAGAACCTGGTTTGGTCTCTTCCTACATTTAAAACAGTACATAAATGTACTGTTTTAAAGGTAGGAACACATTTAACAACATTGTTTTTGTCTTTCTTTGGAACGTTTTCTCCTTATTTCTATTAATTTTCCTGGAATGAACTTGCAATTAGACTCAACTTCTTCATCGCTGGCAGTGTTACAGAATAACTGACCGAAACACTCCGGATCTAGTGGCTGTTTGTGTCCTCCTCCCAGGCGAGAGGAATCGACCCCTCAGTGACCACACGTGTGAGTTTTTAGATCTAGCATATCAAAGACATTATCTGGACAGTGGCCTCATTTCATTGTATAGGGCTCAATTGAATGAGCCATTAAAAACAATGCTGACCATTGATCGTCCTCCAGGGACTTTCTGTGAATTTGTAAAGCTGGCATTACAGCTAACCGGATCCCCTTGACCTTGGCTGTAGGTATGTGACTCCTCCCCTGAACGTTCCCTTGCCCTGTATCTCGCTCTCTCATTGGCTGTAGGTATGTGACTCCTCCGCTGAACGTTCCCTTGCCCTGTATCTCGCTCTCTCTTTGGCTGTAGCTATGTTACTCCTCCCCTGAACATTCGCTTGCCCTGTATCAGCTCTCTCATTTGCTGTAGGTATGTTACTCCTGTATCTGCTCTCTCATTGGCTATAGGTATGTGACTCCTCCCCTGAACGTTCCCTTTCCCTGTATCTCGCTCTCTCATTGGCTGTAGGTATGTGACTCCTCCGCTGAACGTTCCCTTGCCCTGTATCTCGCTCTCTCATTGGCTGTAGGTATGTGACTCCTCCGCTGAACGTTCCCTTGCCCTGTATCTCGCTCTCTCATTGGCTGTAGCTATGTTACTCCTCCCCTGAACGTTCGCTTGCCCTGTATCAGCGCTCTCATTTGCTGTAGGTATGTGACTCCTCCCCTGAACATTCCCTTGCCCTGTATCTCGCTCTCTCATTGGCTGTAGGTCATCACTGATGTAATTTCCAGTCAAAACACATTTCACACTGCAGGACTGTGAGTCGATGACAGGTCCAGATATTTAGCTTGCCAAATATCTCACGGGCATCAGTGACATGTCGTGATTGTCGCTCGTATGAACAAGCACCAATTTGCCTCCAATTTTGATC